GGGGGGGGCTAAGGTGAATCTTGGGGTGACTGTAGCCCCCCAGGACCTCCTCTAGCTCTGCCCCTGAGGCTTAGTAAGGGGCTCAGGGCCAGTTAAACACTCCCTTGACAGGTAGATTAACTTCTGCAGTCAGCCTAAGCGTCTTCAGTAATGAGATCCACAGAGGGATGAATAGGAGGGGACGGATTCTCCTGTAATGTATGGAGTAGTTTCAGCAGCCTTGCATTGTGGCCTTGTTTCCCAAACACCATGTATATGGCTGCACAAGGGGCACTTTTAGAATTGGGCTCCATAGCACACAGGTGGTGTCCAGCTCCTGCTTGGTCTCCCCAGTTCTGCTTTCCCTCCTTACACTAGCTTTGCTTTCAAAAAGAGCTCCTCGTTCTCCAGATAAAGGTTGCCTTGTTACTGTTATCTTAAATGTGGATGATGCAGAGGGTGAGGAGATGACCTATGCACCAGACTGAATATTACCCTATCAGCATACACAGCACTATAGGAAGCCACATGTGGACATTTGAATTGTGTGGAACTCTGAAAAGCCACACTGTAGTACAGAAAATGGCCAAATATGGTTTAGTCAGTAGGAACTTGTTGCCCGTTGTAGGGTTTGTTTGCAAAGTATTATATTCAGTGACTGTTTCTTTGTGTCCTAGCTGCTGGGATGGAAGGAGCTGCCTCCAGAAAACCCTTTATTATCAGCCTACGTAAAATTATTTGGACAAGAGTTGGCCTTTACTAACATCAATAAGAATCTCCTGGAGCAGGCTGCAAAGGTATCAGCAAACCCTAGTTTTGTCTGAAATATGTAAAGAGATTGTCTACTTTTTCCTAACCTGTGTTGTATCTGTTCCGTTCTAGACTCTTAGGGAACCAACAGATAGGCAAGCAGTGGTGAAGAAAATAATTCAACAAATCCGAAATGGCATTGCAGGCCAATGGACTCAGCCAGTGTTCTCAGGAGAAATTCGACACATTATTCCTACTAGTGTCGGTCTACCTTTGGAATATGCCTTATATAGTACTGCCCTGGCACGTGCTGCAGTAAATGGTGAGCTTTGCTTTATAAGAGTTGCTATATGGGATCAGAGCAAGGGGAAAGGTATATAAGTAGAGACTGAGCAGGCATGAACAGGATTTATTGCCTGTTTAGCAAGACAGATATTGAAGATTGTCCCACTGTCAGATGCAGTTATCAGTGGTATTAAAGGATTGAGAAATAGACATAGTTCCATTTTAGGGCAGGCCATGTTTGAATGTGGCCTGGGGAAAATGGCTGTTAATGACTATAAAATTATGCAAGGGAGTTTTAAATTAGACACTGTTACTTAACTATCTCCTATGCTGCCACAATGAATTTCACCAGGTGTGGTTACACAGTAGCTGAGAAGATGTTTCCTTTTGTTATGAACTTGGTTGGTGTTCTCATCATTGAATGACTGGTCTGTCTTGTTCTGGATGATGAAAAAGTGTAAAAGAACCAGATATTTGGGTAACACTAAATTTAAATGTTTAGGATGAGTCTGTCCTCACCACCAACCCCATTATGCTTTTCTTCTTGGGGCTAAATAATATTAATTTTCTTAATAAATAATATTGTTTCTTTCTAAATAATCTTAATAATCTAAATTCACGGTAGATAAATCCTTGGGCTTATCCATTTTACACTGGTTACATACAGTTCTAAGTCTAGTGACTTTGAGGGAGCTGCTTCTGAGGCTAGAATCAGAACCTATCTTCTAGCAGTGTGCATCAGCTTATGATTATCAACCTGCCACATACTTACAATTTTACATGGTTTCTACACATTGAAGTGATTTAGCAATCACCAACTTTCTCACTGCTTCCTTGCCAGATCATGGATAAAGATATTAATTAAGCTAAGTCCTAGGACATATATCCCTCTGGTTGCCAACTATTAATTCCTGTATGAGGAGTAGCTGTTCATAAGAAGTTTTAATGTCTTTTTAAATAGCCAGTTTTTCATTCAGAGCATGTCTTTACCATGGTTTTATTTTTATTAATAATCTGTCATAAGAACTTTTGTCTGTTCTCAGATCTCTCATTTATTTATCTTTTAATATTTCCTGTCTTTCATAGTCAATGTAAAGATGTCCCCTGGTGATTTTAGGCCTTCACAGTGGACTGAATCTAGCGTGCAAATCCGTGCTGATATCACCCCCAGGTAAGGAAGCTGTTTAGCTTTTTATGGCTTTGAGCTCTGTGGAGGCCTTTGTGAAAAAGAAATGCTATTTCTTAAAGATATGTGCTACCTGCTTGCTTATATATGGCTACTTCACTCTGTTTCAGTTTATATGCTCAAGCAGTGGCAGTGATGGGAACCAATACAGAGTATTTCCAATCGGCTATTGAAATTCAGGCCAAATTGCAAGCAAGAGCTCCAGTGAAATTTGATGCCACGTTGGACATGAAAGAGAAAAATTTTAAGTTTGAAACAACTCCATGCCGTGAGGAGACTGAGATAATAACTGGCAGGTACGGTTATATTTCCTTAAAATTATTTCTATAGCATTGTGGAACCTTCTAAAATACTAAGCAATACAATTGTCTCTCATGATTTTGGATACGTGTAACTCAGAGTTATATTGCAGCTCTTTATGAACATCCACCTTAAACATCCAGTTATGCAATATAACACATTTAGGGGGAAGGAGGGGTTGTAACATGGCATAACATTTACAAAAAATAAAGAGTGTCGAAACCATTTAGAAGCTTGATTCCTATTTGGATACTCAGAAGCCTCTCAGGTTTTATCTATGGTCTTTACTCCAACCTACAGTAACACAAATAATTGATGTTTGAATAGGAATTGAATGATTTTCTTCTTTGACTTAAAAATACATTTCTATTTAGTTGTCTGTTGTTCTGGTGTTCAAAACTGCACAATTCTATTTTACGGATCAGTACAGGCACATGGTCTAGTTAATCCAAAAGATCTTTTATGCCATTTTCAAACATTATCTCATGAATATTCCGACAGACATGAAGCTTTTGCTGTATCAAGAAATATAGGAGAACCAGGTGCAGAAAAGAAGATACCAGTTCTTCCTGAAAATGCTGTAAAAAATATCTTGGAGGAGCCGTTCAAATCATCAGAAAGAACTTCAAAAGAAGCCTCCTGGACGGTAACTAATTCTTTTTTAGATATCTATATCTATAGATATAGATATTTACATACAGTAAATGTGGCTATATTTGTGCTGCTTGCCTGTGAAAATTCTTCTTGTGTACTGATATGCATGTGTTCAATGCAGCAGAGAGGTGTATCTGATATCCCATCTAAGAAATATTTCTATGGTTCTGAAGAGGATCTTCACCACAGTACAGGAAGAAGAACACGTGCACAAGCCATTTGCATCAAGATGTCTCGTTTTGGTTGCCAGCTCTGCTTTTACAGAAAAACACGAGATGCCACTTTCATGAAAAATACATATCTGTACAAATTTATTGGAGTACATAATGGCCAACTTGTTATGAAACCAGGTACTGTATAGAACGCATAATTTTCTCTCTCTCCTTCTTGGTACAGCTGAGGCATTATATCCCCTAATGCACGTGTCTGGTGTCTAGTCCGTACAGATGCTGCCATTGACAGAATCCAGCTAGAGATTCAGGCAGGATCCAGAGCAGCTTCCAAAGTAATCCAGTTGGTAACACCAGAGTCTGAGGAGGAGGAGGAGGAGGAGGACTTATCTCCGGATGATGAGATTCAAGCTAAGCTGAAGAAGATCCTAGGAATTGAAAGTGTGTTCAGGGTAATTGATTTTCACTCAGAAGCAGTGGTTTTAAAATATGTTACAGAAAATTAGCATGGATAATCAAGGACAGGTTTAGTTAGGTCCATATGGTTTCAAATGAGAAATCAGTAAGCAGTTATCCAGGGCCTGAGTGGAATGTAAGTGGTGCACAGCGCTGGTCCTGGCCTGCTGCAGAGACATGAATTGTAGCTGAAAGAAACAGGCATGGTTTTTCTGTCCCTCTGCATGTTGTTTGGTATTCGCACAATAAAGTTGCATTTCCCTGAAACAAAAGGACAATAGAGTAGCTTGGAATCCAATGAGAATTTACCAAGTAAGACATAGAAAGGGTTTCTTGTGAAGTACCCCCTCATTAGCATCATTCTTGAAACTCTCCTTTCAGGTTGGAAATAGAACTCACCGCCATAAGAAGCAGAAGAAACAAAAGATCCAGACCACAGACCTCCAGGCAGAAACCAGCGCTAAGCACAGATCTCTTTCATCCTCTTCCCCCTCCTCTGCCACTTCTTCTTCCTCTTCTGCTGCTGGTGAGAAGATCAAAAATAAAGAGGAGGGTGGCACAGCCTGGCAATCAAAGAACAAAGATGCAAAAAGAAGAAAAAGCAGTAGTGCCACCAGCAGCCAAGACAGCAGTGATAGCAGCAGCAGCAGCAGCAGTGGTGTGACAGGGTCACCTGGCAGCAGGCATCTATCAAGACAAGGTACTAAGAGTCCAAACAGTAAGAGCAGCAGCAGCAGCAAAGATAGCAGCAGCAGTAGCAGCAGCAGCAAAGATAGCAGCAGCAGCAGTAGCAGCAGCAGCAGCAGCAGCAAAGATACCCAAACAGAACTGCCACAGAGCCTGTCATTTTATAAAGGAATTGACAGCAAGAAGTAAAGATGTTGGGTTGTGTTGGACATACGATGTTTCTCATGGTGTGTGATGGCTTATCTTGTGTTTTTATATCTGTATGTGTATTATGAAAAAAAAAAAGGAGTACTTAAAAAAATGTATCTTTGGAAGCTTTAGGGTTGAAAACCCCTTTGTCGCGAGCGGAGGAGGCGGCGCCGGCGGCAGCAGCAGCAGCAGCGACAGCAGCAGCAGCAGTGAGAGCAGGGATTCTAAAGTTCAGGTAATGAGCTCACGAGAGACAATAGAAGGGGTGGTGGTGGTGGTGGTGGTGATGAGTGTGACTTCCATTACTAATGTCAGGTGGCTTTGCATTGAAAATCAGAAAATTAGGAATTAATACAACAGAACACAGTGGTAAGATACTGCCTAATCTGCAGTAAGGGCCCATCTTCAATACGCAGCCACCACTTTAAAGTCCCTCCAGAGGTTCCACTACTTTGAACACTTGTTAAAGACCACCTGGGCAACCACATTTTGCTGGTTTACCAGTAATATCTAGTAGGCATGGAATTGCTGAAATTATGTTCCTGAAATATTTATTTCCACTGTTGTTTTTGAAGTATAAGGCTTTTAAAATGTCCTGCTTCTGACTTTCCTCCCTCCCCACAAAGGGGCTTCCAGAGATCTATCAGTATCGCTTCAAGTCGGCACGCTGGCAGAAGGTAAGTATTCTCTGCTTATGGATTTGGTGATGGGATTTGCCCCAGCACAGGCAGAGCAAAAACCCAATGGACTTTGTATAGAAATGACTGCCCTTTTCTTACAGTGTTTATAGAGCCTACATATATAACTGTATTCCACAAAAAGAAATAGAAGGATAAAGGGCCATATTCTCCCGTGCCTTGCATCTCATGAAGTCATTTCTGCCTGTGTAAAATGGGTGCAGAACTCTACTGGAGTGGAGGGCAAGGTGCAAGGCTACACTAATCTCATGTGAAGTATCTGCCATCAAAAGTTCACATAATGTGACAGGCCTGACAAAGGTGCCCTTGACAGCTGTTGACAATTTACACTAGCAATAGCTTTAACCTGATAAATAAAGCATGATAAACATCTAGAAAAAGATGTATCCTAGGGACCTCGTGTATCAAGACACACGCACGCGCGCACACACACAGACGCTAGCAGGAAGGTAACATGAGTTAATTAGAAATGGGTGTGTTATGAGATCAAGTTCCAAATTCCCAAAAAGAAATGTACATCAGGGCTATCTGACAGGTGGCCTGTGGCCCCTGAGGGGTTAATGTGCAGCCCCTCGGCTTCTGTGCGCCACTCCCCATTTCACGCCTCCTTCACTTTTGCTGCTGTTGCCAGAGTCCCATGGACTCCTGCTTCTGATGCATGGCCTCACCCCTGGGTGCACCCTATGGAGTTGAGGGATCCCATGGCTGGAGAGCTTGGAGGGACCTCGTGTGGTGTCTGAGCTGGTGTATTACATTGCAAGGCAGGGGGCCAGAGTGGCTGAGGGAGGGGCAGCATGATGCAGTCACCCATCCAGGAGTCCATGCAGTACAGTGGGGGAGTTCACATGGTGCAACACGTGACCCAGGGGTGTGTGTACCATCAGTGTGTAGCTGGGGGTACTGTGGCTTTCAGCCACTCAGAAGTTGGACAGCCCTGTATGAGGTCAGTGCTGCTCCCACATTAAGTGGAGACGTTGTTGTGTTGCAGTTGTTTTTGGTGTTTTAATTCTTTGCCATGATCACAGCCATTAAAGCAGAGGCACTATCTGAATCCGAATGCACTGTGTAAACGTCCTCAAAAAGAGAAAGCAAAAATAAATTTTATTTAGAACCTAAATCTGAAAAGCCTTGGCACGTGAATAACTTAGGCATGCAATAACACCATTAAAATCTACAAACATGAGATTTTTGGTTTGTTTAGGTGAGTAAAATCTACTTGGGCAATCAAGGATTGGCAGGCTATATACAAAAAAAATCACAAAAAACTGAAATATCTTGAAATAATTCAGCCACTCAGTCTTGGGATAAAAGTTTATTGACAATAAATACTTAATTAGAACCTCCTGGAAATCAATAGAAGATTGTTACAGAGGGTATTTTACAGGGTCATTTAGAAAAACTTTATTCAATTGCTCTGTTCGGGATGGTTTGTTTTCCTATTTGCAGTACCCGAAGAAGACCATTCCAGGTGGCAGCACTAGCAACAGCAGCTCTTCCAGTTCTTCTACAATGGAAGACACCTCCAAAGCAGCTTCCCAGGTCAGTCTCTTAGTCTTCTAGAAACACAGTGTATGGATACCTGAGACTGGCAGAGTTGTATGGATTTGCAATTATTGCACAGCTGGTATAATGGGAAAGGAAAAATAGAGTGAACGAGTTAGTATAATGACAGGGCCAGGGTGAAGATTTTTGTGCAAGAAACCTTCCTTCCCTTACATTGCACAGATGTCAAAGAGTCTCTTTTTACAGTCTAAGCCAGAGATTTGAAGCACCCTGCACTGGACTTGAGGAATTCTTCACTAAACTCAATGCTCCCATCCATAGCTTTTGGGAATTGAGTGGCACCCAGTTTCAAAAACTAATTTATAGATTACAGTGCTTGCTTCCTTTCAGAGGAGCCTGGCAGTAAGGATGGGGAATCATCCAGGCTGAGAGAAGTCTGAGACGGTGCTTATCTCATAGTTTATCTTCTTATCTCCCCATGTCTCTCATCTCCCATCAGAAGATCTGGCATCACCCTGGTTGAGAATCACTGGTCCAGGCCTTGGGACTATTTGTTCCTATATCCTTTGAGTAGCAAAAAGATGGATCATGATCTCTGTGCCTGGAGCAACATCAGAGAACTTGTGCATGCCTGAGGTGCAGCCTTCCAACTGTGGGCTCTTCCAGAGGTGTTGGAGGTGGACTGTGGCATAAATCCTTTAATCTAACATGTAATTTGCTAGAAGCCCCTCAGTTCCTTGTGCCTCATGTAATTTGAATGTATGCCTTATGGCTTTATAGTCATTTGCAGTAGATCATCTCAAAATAACCTGCACATTATTTACTAATGTTTTAAATAATGGCTTGGGGCTACTTAAATACAGCATTGATTATTACCGTTTATTAGGATTAATCTGCTGAGGTTAATATTGGTATTTGTTTTGTGGCAGCACCTAGGACCAGGATCTCATTGGACTAGGTGCTCATCAAACAAAAAACAAGAAAGTGGTCCCTGTACCCCAAAAGCTTGCAACAGCCTTCTAAAATAAGAAATGGAAAGACAGAGAGAAACACAGAAACAGCTGGGCTCCAAAGCCCAGTGCTGAATATTACCAATAGATAATATTTATAACATATACTCATTTAACATAGCCAGAGATCTTTCCCCCTGTCCATTTACAAGAAAACAAACTTATTCTAATTCTGTGTTCTAAATCCTACAGCCCTTACTCAATCCTCACTCTGTTAGAACTGCCATTGATAACAAATGGGGTTTTAGCAAAGAATGACCGGTTTTGCTCATTGCGCGCGCGCGTGTGTGTGTGTATGAATACAGTGTGTGTCTGTGTGTAGATGCATGTACCTATTCATGTTACATACACACGTGTACATGTGCACACACACAAATACATATACTTACATACATTTAAATCTTAAATGAAGTTAATGTTTCTATAATGATTTCTTAATAATAACGTGGCATATTTTTCTGCCCCCTTTTTTTTTTTTAGCTTAAATTCTTGGGAGACAAAACATCACCAGTACTGGCTGTTATTCTTCGTGCTGTCCAAAATGATAAAAAGCTGGCAGGCTTCCAGCTTGTGCTGTACTCAGATTGGTACTCCAGCAGACCCAGGATACAAGTATTTGTGTCAAACATCACAGAATCAGGCAGATGGAAACTCTGTGCTGATGCTTCAGTCATCAGTTCTCACAAAGCAGCAGTAAGTCTCAAAATGTTACACAGCTACATACATACCCAAACAATCTTCAGTGTGCCTAAAAAAAATGTTTGCTTTTCTCTTCCTCATAGGCTTATCTGAAATGGGGCAAGGATTGTCGGGACTACAAAATTTCTACAGAGATTGTAACTGGTCGGTTTGCTGATCACCCAGCTGTACAGATGAAACTGGAGTGGCCTAAAGTTCCTTCAAGAGTCAAGGCAATTGCACAATGGTAAGTTGCCAGTCATCTCCAGTATTATATTGTACAGCTTCTGCAGTGTTTAAGACCAGATTCTGTGCTCCATAGAGATATTGTTCAGTAAAGCAGGGGGCAAGGTTGGAACTTGTCAGGGATCCCATTTGGCATTACTGCTATTCCAGATGACTTTACACTGCCCTGGGCTCTGATGCAGGTTAGAGCAGCCTGTGGATGGTTCTCATTTACAGACTAGTTGTCAGCGTCCCCTAAAGGACCATGTGGTGGCTAACACTGACGTAACAGCATAGTATGGACATACCCTTTGCATCCCTGTCCCTATCTATATCTCTCCAACCCCGGTGTCTGCTAACCTGAGGCTGAGTGCATGTGTGGAAGGCATCTGAGCTGTGTTCATTAGCTGTGCTCTAATTAATAGGTCAGCTCTGCCAGAAGAATTGTCAGCTGCCTGCATCATGTGCTTCCTGCCATAGGGAATATCTGACTATCTGTAGTCTTTGTAGACCTTCCAACTGACCTGTGTTTTTTCCTTTTTAAGGTTTTACACATTCATCCCAGGAACTGCATATATGTTAGGTTTCTCAGAAAAAACAGACAAAAATCCTTCTCAACAGGCCAAGATGACTGTGGCTCTAACTTCTCCAAGGACTTGTGATGTTGTCATCAAATTGCCTGACGTAAATATAAAGTATAATCCTTGCAATCACGTAGCTCACCTGACAGAACGCTTGGCTAGATATTGACTCTTAAATTAGACCTAGGCCAACTCTGCAAAAAAAAAAAAAAAAAAAAAAAAAAAAAAAACTAGGCCAAACCCAAAAAAAAAAAAAAAAAAAAAAAAAAAAAAAGATTTGAAAAAATTAGTTGAGGAGTAGACCATTGAACTGATCTATGGTTATTTGTGACCCTTTTATTTGCTTTCCAAGAATATTCATAGAGTGACATTTTGTTCACAGAAAATAAATTTCTATGAATATTCATGCTAAATATATTTTGCATGTGTAATTGCTCCAAAAGTGTTTGGCCAGCCATCTTAGAAATTCCTTCTGATTTTGGAAGTAATCCATTCAGAAAGCAGAAATAATCTCTTATATCTTAGTTGAATAGTGACTGCATATCGTAAGCGCATAGTAAAAGCAGTAGTCACAGTGAGTAGCTAATGGGCGGTGGATAGGCTGAATTATTTTCACAGAAATTGTTTTGCAGCCTGTCTACAAATAATGTAGAGAGAAAGAGACTGAAATAACCAATAGCTTATTTACTGTCAATAACTCTCCCAACTCTGTTTTTAGTTCGTTTTCTTATTCCTTTTCAGATAATCATTTATGACAGAGCAGTCAGGCTCCCAGTGCCCCTCCCTCTCGGTCCAAGCATACCATCTTCAGAAGTGCAGTCTCCTTCCTGGAATGTGTTTGCTGCAGCACCATTTGCAATCCTTGAGACTCTTAAAGGTCAGCAGTTAATCAGTTTCTGAGGCGGGAGCTGCAACAATCTTGCTTGCTAATTCATGTTTTCTGAGATTTACATGGGATTATTTTTCTCTCATTAAGAAATAACTAAGCCTCCACAGCAATGTTAAATCCTTTCAAGTTGGAGGGAATCCACTGTATATTCTAAAGAAATCCCATAATTTAAAACTTTCCAAAGAACTACTCACATTAAAGTGCATGATGCTATTGTTTCAGATCCAGTAGATTGGCTGAAGTCAAGATAGACTTCCATGGAAATACAGGACCCAGCTTTGAATCTATTTTTGGAAAATCTGACCAGATAGCCTTTTAATTGCCAAAAATCTAATTTTTGCTAAGGTGCGAGGCTATATTTTTTTCATACCTATAATGGAGATAGTGGGTACTGAAAACTCAATATCCCTATAGAAAAATATGTATTGCCTCACTCATATTGCATTATGGATTTTAAAATAAGACATGGCATTAAAATAGATCTCCCTTATGGAAAGGAAAATATTCACTTGTTTTGGGACTTTTTTTTACCAGCTCATTGTTCAGTTTCTGACGACAACATCACAACTTTCAATGGAGTTGAATTTAACTACTCAATGCCTACAAACTGCTATCACATCTTGGCTCAGGATTGTAGCCCAGAACTGAAATTCCTGGTGATGATAAAGAACCCAGAAGAGTCTGACCTGAAAGAAATGAATATCAAGCTTGGTCATCAGTAAGTAATTCTTGGCCTGATGTTGATAATGTAAAGCTACTGTCTCATCCAGATGTAAGAGAGGCTTAGGTGGAAACATTACATAGATGAATCTGAAACCCAAGTTGCATGAGTGTTTCCCGTAATTACCTCACATTTATACTGAATAACATACATAGGAAAATCGAGTATAATATTAGCCTATATCAAAGTATGTATAATATAGGTATATATTATAAGTATCTGGGATGTGTTTATAATGATGAAATATTGAAGCATATGATAATGCAAACAATCAGTGCTGTTTAGTGAGAGACCATGTTTTGTATACAGAGTGTTCATGGACATGATCAGAATAGGATATAAATTAATTCTCTTTCTTTTAAAAGTGAAATGGACATGTATCCTGAAAGTGGGCTTATCAAACTCAGGGTCAATGGTGTTGAAACCCCGGTAGCAAACATCTCATATACAACTGACTCTGGTAGGTGATACCACGCACATTTTATTCCATTTTTAAATTGTGTTGGGAAACAGAGGAGAAGAGAAATACGTCAATAGAGGTATTTCCATTAGCTTAGCCATGACATTGCATGAAGTTAATTCTTTTATTTTCACACTTAGGACCAGTGAAGATTTCAGAATACATCTTTGCATAGCAGCATTTATAAACACAGGGCTTTAAATAGCTACAAAAATATATGGGAATTAGATTAACTATTAAAAGGCTTCATTATTTTTCCGAGAAATAAATAGTAACAAATGAATGAAGACAATATGACTATTAGGATTATTGAGTTAAGATGGTGTGTACTTTTAGTTCATACTGACTCCTACCTTCCATACATGCAAACACTAAGCTATTTTATAGTGTATTTTGTTTCTCTAACAGAAAAAAAAATAAAGATGAACAAAGCATTTTTACATCATTATAAAATTCTGGTATATTTTATAACTTCCTTCTTTGAAGAAAGTTCACTTGTATTTCTTTATTACAGGTGCTTCTGTAACAGTCAACAGTGAGGAGGAAGGAATATCACTTGTAGCCCCAGACTATGGCATTGATAAATTATATTTTGATGGACATGAATTCAAGGTATGTATCTCTCCTCTGTTAGTGATTTTATGTTTACAAAATACCGTGGAAAGTTTATAAAATTCCACAATTTGACAAATTAGAATCTGTACTGACCAATCGTATTACAAGATTATTGTAGCTAAATAAAGTCATTTATTGATGAAGTCACCAAGCTTGCCCTCAGAATACAGAAATCACACTTAGTCAAAATAAATGGGACGTTTGCATAGGTGTAAGTGTCTTAGTTAGCAAAGCTAACTTCAAAATCAAGATAAAAAACCTCTAGTTAGCATAGCATCCTGTTCTTAATATAATAGTTCTAATCTAATAATATTAAAATGCTTCACAGACATCAGTCAGTACCAGAAGTCTCACAGGTGGTAGCATAGTTACAAAGAGAAGTCAGAAACCTGAATACCAGAAAATTGGATCCTTGTTCTATATTTATCTATATGTGTGTGTGTGTGTGTGTGTGTGTGTGTGTGTGCAGAAGCACATTATATTTTATAAATTCTAATAGAAAAGCTGTCTAAATGGTCCTGTCTAGGAGTTGCTAATTTAACTATTATAAAAACATCCATCAGACAAAAAATTAAGCATTAATCAATAAACTAGACAGGGATTTTTCTAAAGGGGCATAGTGTACCAAACTATGTAAGATGCCTTGAAAATGATGGGAAAATTATTATTAAAGAAAATGAATACATATCATGGTCTTTAGAAATAAATATCATGACTTTACATTGCATTTCATTTCCCCCTGAATTTATATCAGGAAACCACTCTAACAAAGTTCTATTCTATTGACATTATCTCTTAAATATGAACTTGAATTAACATTTGTGTTCTTTTTAACAAAGGTTCAAATTGCTTTATGGATGGCTGGAAAAATATGCGGTATTTGTGGAAAATATGATGCAGAGAATGAAGAGGAATATCGGACACCAAGTGGATCCATAGCTAAAGATTCAGTGAGCTTTGCTCACTCCTGGATTCTGTCAGAAGACCGTTGTGCTGGCAGTATGTATCCAATAAATATATTGTGCTATTTACTAGAGTTGGTCAGAAAATTGAATTTCTATCTTGCAGGAAGTTCTGAGATTTTAAAAAAGAATGTGTCCCAAATTGTTACAAGAAACTGACATTTCAAAATAATTTTGAAGACTAAAGCTTCCATAATATTTTGATACAGAAACGTTAAATAGGCCTCACAGATGTGTTTTGTTTAGATAATTGAACCATATACAATATTGGCATCAATAATATCAATACCAATGCTATTCATATCAAGATCATTAAATTTAAAAAGTTACAAAAAATTAGAAGCTGAAACAAGAGAAAAATATCAGAACCAAAACAAATGAAGGCAGGCAAAATGAAAGAAGAAATAAAATGCCCTATTTCATTTTTTTCAAAACATTTCCACTGAATATTTTGTTGAAGTTGACAAATTCCCACAAGCTGTTTCAGTTTCAACAAATCTGTATCTTCTAGTGGAAATATCAGTATTTCATTAATGCTTTTCCAACCAATGTTAATCACAATTAGTAACAATTAAATGTTTTGGATCAATGAGATATATCTTCAGTCTCTGTCAAGGCATGATTTATACTAGCTTTATTAACTTTAAGCCCATAAGCAGTGTGACAAGCAACTTTTTTTATTTTAAGCACCTGAGTAAAGTGTTTTGGTGAATTATGGCCCTAGAAATTTAGTCCTGTCAGACTGATGTGCCAGCATAAGTAATGCACTCAGAGTGTGTGTGTGTGTGTGTGCGCGCGCGCGCACATAATGTGCTACATATACTGTAATCATATCATCCCATCATTGAAATGTAAGGAATAGGCAACTTTTATTTGCTTACTAACTTTCTCTTCCTTATGTTCTTATTTGCCTTTGTAATGAAGATTTGACACTCTAATTACCCACTATAAGACTTCTATTTAACATACACTTACGGAGAGTCAGGACTAGGTTGAGGTCCAATAACAGACTATTTTGATCACTGTAAATCAAACCTATCTGATTAAGCAACAGGGAGTGTATCTTTATACATAGATTCAAACATAAGCAGCCGCATTTAATTAGAATGACCAGGATATTTGTACCATTCTGTATTGATTATTGTATTTAGGCACAACCTGATTTTTTTTTCTACTGAAGACTGGGCTCTGTTGTCTGTTAAACTCAGGTTTTACACTAACTCAGTGAGCCAATTTATCCCTTTTAATGTTAATTAAGAATGATATCCAGTTGCATTTCTTCATATTCATCAAAGTAACTCAAAATTCCATCTGAAATCAGCTTCCTATATCCATATGCACATCAGATTTACTAAAGCAAAAGAAAGTAGTCAGTGATATTGATTTACATATGATTTAACTATAGTCTTAGGTGGGCCAGTTCATTTGGTATTTGTGAAATATCACTATCAAGTGGGAAGTTTGAAGAAATTTTGATTGTTTTACACAAGTATTTTTTCTTTTTTTGCAGCTTGTAAACTACAGCGTTCACTTGTGAAACTTGAAAAAACAATTAGACTTGAGGGAGAGGACTCAAAATGCTATTCAACTGAGCATGTGCTGCAATGTGTGAAAGGGTGCACACCAACTGAGACTACCCCAGTCACAGTTGGCTTCCATTGTGTCCCAGCTGGTAAGTCAACAAGAAACCTAAGGTATAGAAACTTTCCTAATATTCAGCACTGTAGATTGTGATTCAACTTGGTCTCAGACGTAAGCGTTGATTTCAGTAGGACTTCTTGTATGCTTGAAGTTACACAAGTGTGTCAGTACTTTAGCAAGCAGGGCCCTTAATTTCTAATACAGACTGTCTGAGACTTTCTTTAGTGGAAGACAAAATGCTGATTTGGTTTTATAAAATTCTTCATGGGAATTGCATTTAAAACACATAGCTAAGTGGGTATTCCATGTCATCTAGTTTTTATCAGTTTCTGTCTCTGGACCCAGTACTGCTTCCACTGAAATTATTAGTGTTTTGTCAGTGATGGAGCAGGTATAAACTGGCCTTCAAAATAGCAAGTGAGATTTCAGAAATATTGGGATGTACAGGGTAGTTTTCTTTTAGTTTTTAATTTGACATTGCTAAAAAAACTTAATTGATTTAAACTGAAGTATTGTAAGTGAAAATTATAAACATTGGGCATTTTTAATTGTTGATTGATTGGATTTGGGTTTCTTGTGATGCCTACTTTACCTTCCACTTAGAGGAAATGTGTATGACAACGAGAAGTCAGGTGCAGTGTATTAGTGAATACGGTCTGATGCATATAAAATGACTCTCTCTCTAATTCTGTTTATCATCCTTTTTACTTAATTTCAAGATTCAGTTTCCAACCTGCTTGAAGGACAGATGAAGCTTGACCAGAAGTCTGAGGATACAGAGGAGGTAGTTGAAGCCCATACCGCATGTTCATGCAGGGACCTTCACTGTTAGTTATAAGGCTACATTTCAGCATATGCAAAAGTTTGAGTGTTTATTTTTATTCTATGACGCCAGAAAATTCATCCTAGGCAAGCATAGAGTTGTTAATTTAAGTGTTTAAAGTCCTACTGAATCTTCTTAAAGAAAGCTGATCTAAAGAAATGTTCAACATTATCACTGTAAAACTGTTCTGAAAATTCATATCTGATTTCCTAATAAATTTTTGCATTCAAAAAGAAATGCTGGTTTCTTTATTTCACTGTATATAGACAAATTAAGAGTTCTGTTCTGCTTCTTGTTACACACTTCCACCATTCTGAGTAACTCTGCCCCTTACTGCAGTATACCAAGAGTCTCATTCTGCTGTCAGATAAGCATGAACCAAGAGCATCTTAACAGAAGTCAATGAGGTACATCAGTGTGAAACCAGAATGAGCGAGGGCAGAATTACATCCAACAACTCTTGTACCTTTCATGTGACATCCATGTCAGTTTTTTCATTGATTTCAACAGAAATAGGTTTTCACCCTTCATCTTTAGCTGACTGATTCAAAAGCATCCTGCTCAGCAGAATTTCAGTTAGCCATTTTATTACTGGCTACTATTTATTTTTAGATTAAACTATGCCTGCTTATTTGGGCATAATGCTACTGTAAGAATATAGCAAAAATGTAGAGATGAAAAGTTCAACAGCTGAAACTATTTATTAATTCACTCAAGAGGCTTCATCTGGCAGTATTGAAATCAGTGGGAGTTTAGCTATAGACTTCTCCCTGTGCTAAAAGCAGGCCTTTAGCTTCTCAGGGCCTGATCCAAGAGTCCTAAAACAATTTAGAAACTTCCCATTGACTTTCAGGAGCATTTGATCCAAGCCCTTGCTGAACTAGAGAAGCTACAGCTGAGTGATAGATTCCATATCCCTGCCCCACCAGCTCAGAGCATGAGAGGTTGTGACCAGTGAGTGGATATGGAGTCTTTATACCACTGGCTCTAGGCATTAAGTGTGCCTATACATGAGCCATGAGGCTGCTCCAACACGCTGTAATTACAGTGCGTTGGAGCAGACTTGGTTAACTGAGTCTGCTGGAGTGTGGTAATTACCGCGCTCCAGCAGACTCCAGCATCTTGTGTCTGAGCGTCCCTGTGCTGAAAAATGACGGTAGGGGCATTTTAACTAAAATCATTCAATGAGCTTTAGTTAAAGCACCCGACTGCCATTTTTCAACGCGGGGATGCTGATGCATAAGATGCTCCAGGTGTTTTAATTAAAGTGGCTGTAATTGGTGCTGGGGCTAGTTTTGTTCAACATCTTCATAAGTAACCTGGAAAAGCAAGTATATATTGAAATTGTAAAGTTCACACATGATATCAAATTATTCCTGGCAGTTGAATCCTAAACTGGTGGTTAGGAGTTGCAGAAAGAGCTGCAAAACTGAGTGAATGAGCAATAAAAGTGGTAGAGGAACTTCAGTGTTGGCAAGTGCAAAGTAATACACATGGGGAAATATAACCTCAACTATACATACCCAAAGCTGGATTTTGACCTAGATGTTACAACTCAGGAAAGAGACCTTGGAGTCATTGTATATTGGGCTCTGAAAACATCAGCTCAAGTGTAATAATGACCAAAAAAGTTGGGTATCATAAATCCCTGTATATGCCCATGTATAAATCTTCAATATTGTGTGTAGTTCTGTCCTCCACATCTTAAAAAGGATGTAGTAGAATTAGAAAAAGTATGGGGAGGTATAGAAAAGGACAAAAAAGATGATTAGGGTTATGGAGCAGCTGTTGCACCAAGAGGTACTGAAAAGGCTAGGACTTCAGTTTGGAAAGGAGAAGGCTGGTAAGGGTGGGGTGGGGGGAGGGAGGAGGGATTTAATAAAAGGCTATAGCATTGCAAAGGGGTAAATAAAGTGAATAGAGACCTGTTATTCATTAAGTCCGAATCTGGATACTAGGGACACCCACTGAAATTAAGGTGAGGCAAGTTTAAAACAAACAAGAAGTACTTTTTTTCCATAGCATATCATTAACTTATGGAATTTGTTGCCACAAGAGGTTGAGGAGGCAGCTAGTATCATTGAGTTCAAAAAGGGATTAGACAAATGTACAGAGGACAGATCTATTGGGAGCTATTACAAACAGCATCAGCGATGTATGCTCTGACATACCTAAAACAAAGATGTGGTACCAGGGAGGGTACAACAGTACAGGAAGACCTGTGACCCTTGACAAAGCATTTAGAATCGCTGCAGAGGACAGGGTATGCAGGCTGGAATGAAACAAATGGAAGGTGGTAACATGGATAGATATGAATGATAATTCAAATTAACAGTAAAAAGAGATCTAAGACACAAAGGGCCCTCTGATTAGATATAGCATCGCATGTATTCAGCAACCTGCATTTCAAAATGGCAGTGGGGGCACTCATTTGATGAGCTTTAGTTAAAGCACTCTCACACTGCAGCATGCTGGGGTGTTCTAATTAGATTAATTAAGTCTGCTTTGACATATTCAAATCAGAATTTGTCAGAGCGTGTATAGGCACCCAAAGGCAAAAGGAGAAAGAATAGCACAAGGAGATGCATGTGCTGTGACAAACTGACATAAGCCAAGAAGATACCTGATATACAGGAGAAATGCAATTAATTATATAACTTTGAAAGAGTTTGCAAGCAATAGCAAAGTGTGAGCAGGATGGACAAAGAAGACAGTGATAGCACGACTAGCTCAGATTGATTCCTCATGTGAGTAATGTACTACGCTACAGCACCAAATGATTAGAATATGAAGCTGAAAGCAAAGTAAACATATAAAGTAATGGCTGCTGCCAAGCCAAGAAACTGATGGCATGACTGCTAGTATCTCTGAACAAAAAGTCACAAATATTAGAAAGTTTCATAGTTTCATAGTTGGTAGGGTCGGAAGGGACCTGAGTAGATCATCAAGTCCGACCCCCTGCC